TGCAGCCTGCCGGCAAATTATAATATTGTTTTAAAACAAAATGGCGTCTCAGATAGAAGAAACTCTGAAGAGAATTCAAACCAGTGACGGTGTCATCGGCTTCGTAATAGTAAACAGCGATGGTACCTATRCCATATTCTGCGGACAGCGATCGTTGTCGACACAGGCCCTAAAGGCCGGGGATCGCATGGTTAACTGTAATTAGAATAATATTTTTTCGTAAAATATTTTTTTCAGGCATACCGATTAAATCCAACATGGACGATGCAGTTTCCGTCCGGTACGCTGGATTAGTGCAACAGCTAATCGCAACATCACAGATTACGATAAAAAAAGATGACCCGACTGATAAATTGACATACATGCGGTTGCGTACCAAACAAAATGAGATCATTGTTATACCGGGTAAATTGTTAGTACAGGCCTAAGGTCGGAGACGGTTTGAAGTTTGAACCTTCCAGAAGGTACCACTGGCCCGAACCACTTTTGGCTCAATTACCTTAATAAATTAGTTAATAGCTAAGCCCTCTCCGACCATAGGATTTAGTATTTATTATTTAGCTCCCCCCCCCCTTAGAAAATATTAATTTATAATAGTTGGATGGTTCATAAATTAAAATGTAAATATTGTTATAAAATTTTTTATGTATATATGTGTATTATATAATCTAATATGTACTCAAATTAAAATTTTATTTTTTCCGAAAAAAAAAAAATGTTGTCTCCCCGACCATTTCAGATTTATAGATCAAATCTTGCCGGTATATAAAGATAAACATTATAAACTAATTACTGTTTATCTACTAACCAGATCCCTTTTATCAGTTTTATACCTTTATAATCTATATATTAATCCAGTTACGCATACAATTAGACTCCATAGTTATAAAAAATGCTTTTAAAAATAATAATAATTCTTATCTGTTGCAATTAATTTATTAAAATAATAAAACATAGAACATGTACATAAAAATATTTTTAGTCTTTATGTCAATTTGGTTAAAGTATATATTATAATTTATAATCATCTTAAATATTACATGAGCATGAGATTAAAAATAATATAATATAATTAAGCACATAACCACTTTTTTGTTACAGATAAACATTATAGTATGGTGGTAGTTCAAAAACCAACTGGTTCTAGATCACCAATGTAAAATTGACTAAAAATTGATATATTGCTTGTAATATATGTATATATATAAATAAATAATTGAATAATGTTTAAAATAGAGTTTTAATTCATTTAATGTAAAAAAATATACATCATAATATTTAATTTATCAATTAACAGAAAGTTATATTTCAACAACGGCTTTATTGATTTTACCCAAGATTGTCAGCAATAAACGTATTCACATTATTTGTGTTATAATATGGTTCAGAAATGTCATTTATGTAAGTGATATGAGGATGGAAAAATTTGTAATATATTGCCATAAATAAAATTCCAACAAAAAATGGTGCTATCGAACCTATAATCAGTGGATAGTAGTACCATTGGTTTTGATCCGTACCAGTAATAGCCCAAATAGTAACAGCAGCTACATTTTCCACTAAGAATACTCCATAATACCCTATGTAACGATTTCTCGACTTTCCTTGGCCTTCACTGGGTGATAAATAAGTAAATATGTACACGAGACCGAGTATTGTTGAAAAAAAAAATCTCATGATTCCACTTTCTTTAGATTGGTCGGATGGCATACAAAATGTTACGTTTTGATATTTGAAAATCCACAATGTCATAAATAGCCAATGGATCATACAAAAAATACCGGTTGACTGTGGCCACACTATAGCRGCTAAACTAATAGACAAAATTCGAGACACTAAAAAATAAAAATGTGTTGTACAAAATTAAAAAGTATTATTATGCATTCCAGATAAAATAATTATGTATTTAAATAATATTGTGATACTTTAAATCATTATAATTGGAATATAAGTTTCAAACTGACTTTAAAATTATTACTATTATATACTTTTTAAATCTAAAAATTAAAATACATGTTTAACATACTTGTAATCATTATGTGCCATAAAAATTGTAACACTGTTCCTGTATTGCCAATGTTTTTTCGGTTTTCATAAGCAATTCTTACATTTTTATGATATGAAGCCATAGCCCAAGCAATACCTATGGTTGAACTTGCAATAGATGCAGATTGATGAACAACTGAAATCAATAATAGTAAATTTTGCTACCTATAATAGGTTACCTATTTTAAACTTATACTAGTATTTACAATCAACACGTTCAATTACATTCAGTACTTAAACCATTCAAATATGTACTGTAGTACTTCGAATAAAGACAAAACATATAGG